CTTCCTTGTTGGGCCTCTGCCAGTCCCCAAAAGTTTTGCCCCTGCAGCCTCCTTTCCCCTTTTATTTTTCACTCTGTCTTTAATGATTTGTTTCTTTTGTCCCTGTGCGTGCTCTTCAGTTTCCTTTGATGCACTTAATTCTAGTTCAGTGATCTCTCTGCTTTTCATTGCTCTTCTGTCTTCCGTGAGGACTGCTTCTTCCCAACTTTCCCAGTTTCTTGTCTCTTGTTGGTCTCTGCATACTTTTGTGTCTGGATGAGATATATCTTGAGAGATGAGGTGATTGAGTTGTTTTTTAACGTTATGGAGATTTTTTTTTCTGGTTTTGGGGAAGGAGGTGACCAGTACAACTTTAGATGGAGATGTATTGAGCCAGACACATGATAGCTCTGAGACAGATGCATGTAAAAACAAGATGGTGGTGAATGTTTTTTACTTACCCTAAACTTTCAAACCACTGAATGCAGAGTTTTCAGGACTAAAAATTGTTAGAGAGTGATAGAGCCAGGAGACCCACTAATGCTCAGTCAAATATATGTGAGAAGATGAGTTAGATTCTCATGGGATAGCGGTTGTTTATTTCTTTTTCTAAGCTATCTTATTTTCCTGTAGAGGAATTAAGAATGTTGTAAATTGTACTGTTACAATATTTCTTAGTGCATAACAGATTAACAGTTTTTAATGACTAATCCTAACAAAAAAAAAAATCCTCCTGAAGGTATTATTTCCCTGTGTGAAAGCTTCATAGAGACTGTATCATTTTCAAAATGTAATCACCTAGATGAAGAGTGCCCAACTCATAGTTCAGCTTGCAATATTACTGTATGTTCCTCTATATATCTGAAAAGCAAGACGTTTTAGGTTATTCTGTGATAAGTACCCATCAGTCAGTTTAGAAAGTGACATATGATAATAAAGTTCTAGTATTGGCAATAAACTTAAACTACTAAACTTTCTTTGTTTGGTTTCTTTATGCTCTGTTTATTACTTGTATTTCACAAGAGGGACAATCAAAATTCATTTGTTGTTTAGGCTTTCACTGCCAGTTAAGCTTTGCTTACTGTAAAATACTGTAGATTATTTAAAAGGTTTTCAGTGAAATTCACTGAATTTGGAAATAATTTGCTGAATTGGTACATAAGCTTAGTTTTATAATATTTTTAAATTGATGTTTAGGGTTGAAAAGAACAGAACAGGCAAATAAGTGGAATTATTCTGCAGTAAGCATTAGAGAGTTCTAACTGTACTTTTCTGTTTTGCTTTTTTCACTTTCCTATGTACAGAGACCTAAAGGACAGGGAAATAAAGGTAAGTGGATTCCTTATATTTCTGTATAAATCCCCGATCCTGCCATTTGTAGAGGTTAATGTGTCCTCAGACAATTGTGTGGAAAAAATGTAGCTATAGGATGTTTTTCTTTCAGAGTAAGATGACAGCAAATTGTGTGCCAGATTATTATTTTCCAGCTTTTCTACTGTGGCACAATGGTACATCAATTTAAAATGCTTTATTCTGCAGGTTAAAATTAATGTCATGAGTGATCAAGTGAGAAGATAACATAGCTATTTCTTTTCACCTGGCTTTCAGTGATATGTTTGCATGATGTCTTTAGGTACACCTTGAGCCTTTCTGTACAGTGAATAGGATCAGTGTGCTAGAATCATCAGGAAGAATCATTTGAACAGCTTCCTTAGCTTGAGAGACCACAACCACATGACTGTTCAGTTACTCATATCTGTGAGCAGAGCACATCACCCTCTTTATTCTCAGAAATTTTGTTGGTTTTTCTGTTCATGTTAGCTTCAGTATAGAACATCTATCTTATTTTTTAGGCTCTTTGCTCTTGTTTTTAACTTTTCTGGCAATGCCTTTCTTAGCTTTTAAATACTGTACTCATTGGGGTTTCTTCTCTCCCACAGAAACAATGAACAAGTTAATATTCCCCCCCTCTAAAATACTTGGCAAATCTGGCCTTAGTAGCATCTTGGATTATATCTTGTAATTTATGTCTGGAATTTGTTCTCTCTGGTATAAAAAATAATATTTTATTAGGGAATTCCTTTTGCCCACTCAGTACACTTGTGAGCGTTTATTTTCTAGGCGCTCAGCAAGCGTACACATAGCTACCTGCATTGTGTTCAATATGCTTATTATTTTTTCGTGCAGATAGGAAAGATCTTTGTTATTTGGAATTTATGTACTCTTTGCACCACTTGTTCGCTATCTGAATTAATCTAGCTGTTCTCCATGAATGGGCGCTAATTTTATCCACAGCTTGCTTATTCTGTTCCTCTGTGCAGATTATCTGTTCCTAATTACATATACCACTTATATCGTGGCATATGATTCTTAAATCTTGCTGGATTTGGCCTGTTCCTTTGTCATTCCATCAGGCATTTAGAGAAAAATGTACTTGTGTTTACTTCCGCAGACCCTCTCTGCTTGGTCATTCTTTCTTGAATACTTGTTCTCTCATCTTCTAACACTTCTACTATGTTTTTCTCAAACTGAGGTTTTTAACTCTTTCTTTGTGTCTTCAAAATTTGCTTGTCTTCAGACCTTCCATGTTGCTCTTAAATGAGAACAAAAAATCCAGTCCACTTAAGTGAGTGATTTGTGATTCACGTTCTTTGTATTTTATCATTTTTAAGATTTTAGTGATGTTATTGAGATGTATCTATTTGAGAATCATACAAATTGCTTTTGAACTACACTCCATATATTTGAATTGGAACAAAAGTATTACATGTTTTTATTTGGGCATTGTGTTGCAGTTTGTTTAACAATGAAAACGCATTAATCAGCTTTACTTTTAACTTATTTATATTAGCATAGTTTTTGTGTGCTATAATTTGTAAATACTGCAGAATGTTGGAATTGAAACGCAGCTCTTAGGGTTTACTTAGTAAAGAGTTTTCTGCATTACTGAACTTGGATTTTTGTGGCGTGCATCCTGTTAAATAATGGGTATTTACTAGGATTTACTAGGGAGAATAGGACTTTGAAAGAAACTATAAACAAACAATGATCAGCTCAATTCTGCTGAAATAGACATTATATCAAATATTTCATTAAATTAATTTATGATTTAGCGCTAGATTAAGGGGGTGGGAGACTGAAGATGGTATACTTTATTGCAGTTAGCACAAATAATTGGCTTTTGGTCAGAGACTTGTTCAAAAGTATGAATTAAGTCAATATCAGCAATCCTTACTGCGCACATGTTAGCAGATAGTAATCTTTTTTTCAGGCATCGTGATATCGTCCTAGCTTAAATGGCTTTGAGGAAAGACGTGGCACTGAGCTGACACACTAATCTGAGAAGTTCATTCTGTGCATAAGGATGATAATGCGTAAGAGGATGGTAAAAGGGTTACTGTTTACATGGCTGGTAGAGCCATATGAGTGAATGCGAGTGAGCAGTATAAAGGGTGTATGTGAGCAAGTGCAGTATTTCTCCTATTGGAGCAAACATATGAAACGCACAAATGATACTGAGAGGTAGCTGAATTGTATTGTCTAGTGCAACATTTTTGATGCTTTATTCCAGTTATAAATTACAGTAAAAATGATGTTTTCCCTGAGCAGAATTTGTAGGATTGAAGTTCTAGGAGGTACAACAGTACTGTAATTCTGTTGTACTAGATTAATTAAATTTCAGTATTTCAGAGACTTGAATGAGTAAATTGTCCTATCTTGAAGGTTTTCTTATTCCGTCAACTCCTATACAGTTGACGTAAGAGGTCAGAACTGGTATCAGTCAAAATGATGTCTTGTGGTGGAAAAAATGGGCATCCCCAAACTCCTTCCTCTCCTCCCCCTCCCCCTTCTTTAGTTTAGTGCTGGTATGTCACATGTATGATAGGAAAGTGCTGACTTGTTTGTCTTTCATACATACATATATATATAAACACACGCACAAACACACATGCATACACACATTTATATAAAACATTTATTTATATACATAACAATTTTATTGCTTTTCCTTTTTGCAGGAGATTTAAATGTAAGCATTAGGTTTAAAACAAGAGTGAGGTGTTATGGGTTTCTTTTAGTACTTATTCTCCAAGTTAACCAAGAGGTAATGGCATCTTTTAATGACAATTTTATTCTTTTGCCTTTGGCCATCATTTGTGCATTTTGCAAGTGGTTATTCAAAGGATAATAGCTGTTAAAAGAACATAAGCTGTAAGTGCCTGTATTTGATTTGTGTCTTCCCAATATCTAATTACATTGTATGTTTTCAAAGTATTTAGGGAAGCATACAGTGTTTTCAGGATTGGATTGATACAGATATTTTTAGTAACTGTATTAGTTTTAATTAGTATTCTTCATCACTGCCCTGTTCAACTGGAACACTTGATATGAATGGGAATGAAGCATGCATCTTAATCTGTTTGCTCTTGTTAAACGTGTGAGTAGGCCATGTTCTTTATTATTAACACATTAGGTAAAGTTAGAATGAAAAGTTAACGTGTTTTTCATTGGTGTTATTTTCACTCAGAAATGTATGTATTTACTAGGAAAGATAGGGTAGTGTAGAACTGATGGATCTGAATACAGAATGAATAAGAAAGCAAATAAATATACAGAAATATACTATATTAGTTGTAATGGCTGACCAAAAGTAGTTCGGTCTTAAGTGATTTGATTCAACCTTTAGATGTCTCTGAAACAATAAACTTTGCAGATGCACATTTTATGAATTGTCAGTTGTCAGTGTGAAGAAATTGATTTTTATAGCATTTTAGTCTTGACATGCAGCTGCTTATTCCTTTATTTGTGGTTACGTGTTTTTAAGGAACTTATGTTGCTCTGTGTACTTTTTTTCGTTATAACAGAATTGTATCTGAGGCTTTTGCTGTCCGTACTAATTGGTTAAGTCCAAGTGGTATTATGTTTAAGTGGCATGGACAATAGACTTTGTGGGTTGTCCGCCTGTGTGACTGAGTCAAACATAAATAGGAATATAGTGTTCCAGCTCATTAAAGTGTTCCCATTTTGTGCAAATTGAAAACCATTAATGACCATAACTGCAACATCTTATTTATGGGGGAAAAAATTAATAGTAATTTAAATTTGCTATTTAATTTTAAAGTTTTTTTTTATCAAGTCTTAAAAATTATTGCCTTCACAGTTTTCTTCTGGTCACGTTTGGCTGTAGCTAATAATGAAAATACATTGTGCCTGTATATAAAAGTTGAGGTGTCAAGTGTTCTGACCTTCAAAACCCCAGGAAGATGTATAAAATACAAGTTACTTTCCTCCTCCCCAGATATTTATTTTGGAATGAATCCTCTCTTGTTCTGTGTTAAATTATGAATTTTCAGCTCTCCTTACTGTTGTATGAAGTTAATTTTTCTTTTCCATAATGTTGTTTATTTCTTCTCATTATATCTACTCCTTTATCTTTTTTTTTTCCACTGATTATATTCCCTGAAGACAGATTGTTCTAGAGTTATTTAAAATCAAATTGTGAATAAGTTTGGAAGTGACTTGGTCTACGCTCCAGCTAGTTTGCCGTGTGAACTTTGTGCGTTTTTAAAAAAAAAAAAAAAAAAAAAGAAGAAAAACCTAAACAAACAAACTCACTCTTAAACACTAACTCTAACAAAGTCGAAGGTTTAGTTGCATGGTTTTATATACTTTTCAGAAGCTTTTACCAAAAGAGGGAAACTGCAAAATCAGCTCTTAGCTCAAAGCAGCTCTAGGTGTCAGAAAATGTCCTATTTTGATGGAACTTCCACTTTCTTGGTTTCTTAGTACATCTTATTTGTCACTCTAAAACATATTCTTTCAGCAAATCTACTGATGAATAACAAAATAAATGTATTCAGAAAAGCAGTCTCTTATTTTTGAGAAGCAAAGCTCTCTGCCTTTTCAGTTGTATGATTTCAAATGACCTGCCTGCTGATTTTAGTCCCTCTTCTGCTTTCCCCATAGGAAACAGTAGCTTAGTAGAAATTTGTGCAATTTGACTTTATTTGAGTAGTAGTTTGGATGGGGGTGTGGAGATGCTTCTAGTCGTTTGGGCAGCTGGAAAATCCCAGGTAGGTGTGATGCCTTGGATGGAGTTAAAGGTAATAGAGTGCCAAGAAGAGCAGGTAGGAAGAGATTCCGATGTATAATGGCTATGTGGAGAAAGGAGTGTATTCACCCTGGGGAACTTGAACTCTTGGTTCTGTCTTGCTCTGTCCCCTCCGAGCTTCAAAGATGTCACTAATGCAGTGCAAGAAAATAATTATGTAGTAAATAGGGAATTGAGATAGCCAGAATAGTGGTGCCCATTGGCTATTTTGGTGGATACCTGACTTCTCCCCTGCTTGGAGGAAGCAATGTGTTGCAACTTTCCCTGAACCTGTTGAATGTGTGTGATCTTGTTGTTCTGCACACTTGCGCTTGGTCTGGTACTTCTGGAAACGCTGGATTTACTGCCCCTGCAAAGAAGATGTGCCTGTAGCTTTTTTCTATCTGTGGAGTCCAGGAAAGAATAGCCCAGAATAGTCTCCTTCATCTGTCATCTTTCCAGATCTCTTCTGAGGGCTAATTGGGGAACTTAGAATTTAGCAAGGTGATGCTTAATAGTGAGATGTTCAGTCTCAAAAAAGCACGAGTATTTCAGTGTACAGGTGATTAGAAACTGTGAGCTGGATTAAAACTGCACTATAAGGCTTCCAGAGAGTATACCTAATACAGATTTGTTTTTAGTTTCAGTGCAGAACGGTTCGATTCATCAAAAGGATGCAGTAAATGATGATGATTTTGAGCCATATCTAAGTAGTCAGACAAATCAGGTAAGTGAACGTTGTTTGCTATCTTGAAGTTATTTCAGGGTTCAGTTAACCTCCAGACTTCTTTCATTTTTGGATGATCTGTCGTAGTGTTGTTTGCTTGCCTGAATACCCATTGAAATGTAATTTAGTAGTATATCATATTTTAAATGGGTAAAGACTTTGTTAATGATTGTAGAAAAGATTCAGTTAAAAAGCATGGTGATGTATCTATTGCTCTTGTGCTCTGATTTCAGACAGGTTTAGTTACGCGAAGCTTTTTTAGAAAAATAAATCACGACCAAAATCAAAAAAACATGTCTTAAATTTAGGATGAATTCATCATGTGTTGGATGCAGTTCAAAACAACAGTTTCATTTGAAAATATTAACTGAGAAAATATTAACTGCGTGGACATGATTTCCTTTGAAGTTGGTAGGAGTAGCTCAAAGTAGATGGCATAATAGATTGAAGCTTAGTATTGCTAAAGCTTAGTATAACTCTTCTGCCAGGAAGTTAATAACTTATTTTCAGAGCTAGGAATTGTGTCTATAGTCAGAAGTTAATATTCTTTAAGTTAAGTTTGTAAGTCATACCAGTCTTGAGAGAGAGAGAAAGTAAAAATTATTAAAGGACTTTGAGAATTTTTCCTGCCTTCCCATTTACTCAAGTGGTACAACATTAGGGAGGCATGAGCTGGAGGATGGTAATGTGCAATATTTTTTCAAAGCATCATCAGAAGTCATATGTGGGTAGCCTTTAAGGTGTCTTGGAGCTTTATCTTCTAAAGTAATAAATGCTGTGCTTTCCTACAAGTCTTGGGAGTGGAAAATGAATTTAGCAAGCAGATTTTGTACTGCTAGACCACAAATTGTACTTAATATCCATTCTTGAATAGTGTGAAAGTGTTATAGTTTGAGTGTTTCCCTCCTGAAACAAATGGACATCCTTGTGTCATCTTTGCCAAAATGTTCTGGCAGTTGTCCATATTACAAATGAGAGACTTGACAAAAACCAAGAATACCAAAACCTAAAATCACAGTTGCAGCAATATTCCTGTAGTTACGAAACTACAGAAGTAGTGATTTTTTTTATTTTTATTTTTTAAGCTTGATGTTTTCTTTATACCACTGACAGGGAGGCATTTTAAACCTAGCTGAATGTAAAGACAATTTATTAAAAGATTGGAGCTCTTCAGTGCTTTCAGAAGGTCCACCTAGAAATAGTTGCTGCATCTAACAGAGACTTTGTTCATCATTGTTACCTTGGGAAGAGTAGTGAAACTTAACAGGTTCACTCATCTAGTCCTTGAAAACGTTTTGGGCTGTGTTGCAGGACTGCTGTCCTAAGCGTATTTATGTTTACAGTGCTGATTTTTGGTTTATTTTCTTGCAGAGTAACAGCTATCCACCAATGTCAGACCCATACATGCCTAGTTATTATGCTCCATCCATTGGATTTCCGTACTCTTTAGGCGAAGCAGCATGGTCAACTGCTGGTGACCCTCCAATGCCATACTTGACAACTTATGGACAGATGAGTAATGGTGAACACCATTACATACCTGATGGTGTATTTAGTCAACCTGGGGCATTAGGAAATACTCCTCCATTTCTTGGGCAACATGGATTTAATTTTTTTCCTGGGAATGCAGACTTCTCTACATGGGGGACAAGTGGATCTCAGGGACAATCAACACAAAGCTCAGCTTACAGCAGCAGCTATGGCTATCCACCTAGTTCTCTTGGGAGAGCCATAGCAGATGGACAGGCTGGATTTGGCAGTGATACTCTGAGCAAGGTGCCTGGGATTAGCAGCATTGAGCAAGGCATGACTGGACTGAAAATTGGTGGAGATATGACAGCTGCTGTAACAAAAACTGTAGGTTCAGCTCTGAGCAGTACAGGCATGACAAGCATTGCAGCAAACAGTGTGCCCCCAGTTAGCAGTTCAGCACCCAAACCAACCTCATGGGCTGCCATTGCAAGGAAGCCTGCTAAACCTCAGCCGAAACTCAAGCCTAAAGGTAATGTGGGCATTGGGGGCCCTGCTGTACCACCACCACCTATAAAACACAACATGAATATTGGAACTTGGGATGACAAAGGGTCAGTGGTAAAAGCACCCCCAGCGCAACCAGTACTGCCTCCTCAGACTATAATCCAGCAGCCTCAGCCATTAATTCAACCACCACCACTGGTGCAAAGCCAACTGCCTCAGCCGCAGCCTCAGCCACAGCAACCACAGCAGCAACAAGGACCTCAGCAGCAGGCCCAGCCTCACCAGTTGCAGCAGCAACAGCTGCAGAATCGCTGGGTAGCTCCTCGTAATAGGGGTGTGGGCTTCAGCCAGAACAATGGAGCTGGTAGCGAAAACTTTGGTTTAGGTGTTGTATCTGTCAGCTCCTCACCTTCTGGCGTGGAAGTGCACCCAGTGCTGGAGAAACTAAAGGCCATAAACAACTACAATCCCAAAGACTTCGATTGGAATCTGAAGAATGGACGTGTGTTTATAATCAAAAGCTATTCAGAGGACGATATTCATCGCTCCATTAAGTACTCTATCTGGTGTAGTACTGAACATGGTAATAAACGCTTGGATGCTGCTTATCGTTCACTGAATGGGAAAGGCCCACTCTATTTACTCTTCAGCGTGAACGGCAGTGGACACTTTTGTGGAGTGGCTGAGATGAAGTCTGTTGTGGACTACAATGCATATGCTGGAGTCTGGTCTCAGGATAAGTGGAAGGGGAAGTTTGATGTCAAATGGATCTTTGTCAAAGACGTTCCCAATAACCAACTGCGGCATATTCGCTTGGAAAACAATGACAACAAACCAGTTACCAATTCGAGGGACACTCAAGAGGTACCCCTAGAAAAAGCCAAGCAAGTGCTTAAAATAATTGCTACTTTCAAGCATACCACCTCAATCTTTGATGACTTTGCACATTATGAAAAGCGTCAAGAGGAGGAGGAAGCCATGCGTAGGGTAAGGAATCAATATCATTACAGTAGCTTTCCAGCTGTTTTTCTGTTTTTTCATAACCTTGCTTCGTACAACAGTCTTTGTGCAAATGTTGAATCAAAGTCATGCGTTTTCCCTAAGGTGTCTGGACTTAATATAACTGGCTCTTAATGAAAAGATTTAAGTTCTAGTGACTGCTTTGTTAACGCAGATACGTGTTTAACCATAATACTAACATAGGATGTGTAAGCTGACTTCTGAAATGTTTTACTTTAAAAAATAAACAAAAACTGAATTGAGTGTATTATCCATAACTGAAGTTTTCTAGTTTAGATTTGTAGAGTTTCTGAATGTCACATGAAAGGACATGAAATTAGAGGAGAAACAAACATTATTTAAAATAATGTCTCAAATCAGTGGGTGCGTAGTACCTTTTGAATGTCTTTTTGTTTCTTTCTTTTTTAAAAACTGAACGTGCCCTAAATCAATATTATTACTTCCATGTCATTTTGATGATTGGGTGGAGCGGGGGACACGTTCTTAAAAGATAACTTAGTGCAAGGAGAAAAATATGACGTTTTCAGGCTTTTAGTACAACTTCACTGTGTTCTTGGTAATGTTTCAGAAGGAGTAAGATTTCTCTATAAAACCCATATTTCTCTATAGTCTTCACATCTTTCAGGACTCTCTTCCCATTTTCAGGGCTTTAAGACGAGTGTAACTTGTTTGCTTCAAAAACTGATACTTTTATGAAAGAACTTATCAAAGGCATCGTAGCTCAGACATACGCTAGTAACTCAAGGGAATAGTGTTTTGTGGTTTTCTTCTCTCTGTTGTAGGTGAAAACTGTCAAATAAAATAGGGGGAGCATGGATTGTTTGTGTTTATGTATGCGAAACTTAAAATCCAAAGCACTAAATTCAACATTTAACATAGCACTCCATGTACATAATTCTAATTATGAGTATTTTACGTAATAAAAGAACATTGCTGTTACCCTTAATACCCTCAGGGAATCATATAGTATCTGTGACTCAAGTACTGAAATCTGCATTTCTCTTATTTTAACAGGTACCCTTCTCAATACTGTTGAGAGATAGCTTATTTGTTATGATACTTATGTAGTATGTAGTGATTCCTCTACAGCGCTGTACAAACTGGTTTTGTGACAAATTGTAAAGCATTAGTTTAGAGCTGCATATCCACTTGTGAGACTTTTTTCGTTGCAGATAGATCCGAGATATGCCTTAGGCAATTTAATATGAACTTAAAATACAGGAAGTCAAAATTAAGCTGTAATGCTAGCTACTGAGAGTTCATCATTATCATTCTTGTATGCTTGCATGTTGATTTTAAACGTCTAGGTTTCTTGTTGTGTTGTCACAGAGTATAAGAACAATCTGTCTTTAAACTGTAAACGTGCAATTGTTAACTCCTTAATGATTTAGGAATAGTTTGGAATACAATAATTAGTATCATAAACTCTGGTTTATGGTTAATTAAACAGTTCCTTATTGCCTAGTGCCAGGTAGGTTTTTATGCAGTTATATTTAAATTGGTGCCCTTATTGTCAGTAGAACCATATATTCTACATAAATTAAGTTCTTGTCTGTTGTCTGTGGCAGCTGTGGTGGTCCCTTTGCTTCCAGTGTTTGTCATGAAAAAATGTGGTTATTGCTGTTAATAAATTATTAAATACATCAAACGGCAGTAGTCACTGCCATTTTAAGTCACATGTTCCTTAAAGTTCAATTAGTATTTTGTTGTTGTTATCAACTATGCAAACTTTCTTAAAGCCAATGATCTAAACATAGCAAACAGCATGTGATTTATGGATGTAATTTACTTTAATTGTTCATCATTCCAAATAACTTATTTTAAAATAATTTTTGTAAAAGTTTAGTCTTAACAACTCAGGATGATCAATAGTTAATTTCCAATATGACTTAGCAATTCGTTTTATTTAAAATACGACTATATACTTGTAAAAGTGTGGTGAGTAGGCTGCGATTAGCATGAAACTTAAGTAACTTATGCTTGTTTTTGAAGATTACTTGCAAATTACTGTGAATAGTCTCTTCAGGCATAAATGCTAGAACTTTTATGTCTGCTGTTTGATGTTATGGGTAAGGTATGTAAAATTAGGTTTGGAAAGAAATTTATGCAGTAATCATTCATGCTTTTCTTAGGTCTCAAGTTCAAGTGTCCTGTTTTAAATATGCAAGAGCTGTAGCCTTTCATCAGTGGAGCAAAGAAATCAGCCATGTTTTTCATGTGTTCTGTTAGCATTATGTTGAAGTAATCTGAAATTGAAATAGTCTTTAGTTTGAACTGCTACTTAGTGTCAATGTGCATGATTATATGCAGATTATTTTTTAAAAAGTGGTGAATAGTCCTTCAACAGAAAGTATTAGCAATGAGATCTACACAAATGGAACAGAAGTCTTAAAACGTGACATTTAAGAACACTTAAATTACATTAGGAAAAGGAAGGAAGTTACAGATCTTATGGATTAGCAGTTATGGGCCTAATCTTCAGCAAATACCTAGGTCAAAAATGAAATGCAACTTTAATAAAAGCACGGTAACTGGAAGCTTGCAAAAATGTCTTCTGCTTACTTTAAAGATAATTCTACTCAAATTCAATGAACTCAATTTCAGAATTAGTTGATGTACTGTGCATTTGATTTCTGCACTGCTGGGCAGTGGCTTGTTAGCTTGTGGTCATCTGTTATGTTAGGACCTTTTTAGGTACTTTCTAGTGCAGAATTCTAATTTTTTTTGTACCATACAATGGAAAAAAGATAATAGTTCCAAGTAACTAAAATGTTAATATTTTAACAGTAGCAGTAAAATGAAATAGCTCACAAAAATAATTATTTTTCATCTGTAGGAGAGTCAGAAAAAGTTTACATGTATTTGTGTTTATCTGATGTGGAATTTGTACTTTCTGAGGAAGTCTTTAAATGGCAGGTGAACGACCATTTAAAATGTTAGCTTCCTCTTATTCTGCTATGTATCGTGTAACAGAAAGTTTTAGCTATATGAGAATTCCTGATTCTGAAAAGGAGAAATTTAATTTTTTTCTCAGTCTGGCATTAAGGTAATTTCTGTTTCTCTGATAATTGGTAAACATCAGACTGCAGTGTTAAACAATATAACTCCTTTCCAGTACATGGCATTTCTATCTTGATGCTTAATATGCTATCTCTTGCAAATGTCTTTATTAAAAAAAAAAAAAATAAGGAGGGAGAGAAGTGAGAAAATCTCTTAAAAGAGAGAACTGTGGACCTCCTCCCCCCCCTTTTTTTTTTTCTTCCCCAAACCTTGCAACTACTATGTTATTGTTTCACAGTCAGATACAGACATGTTCACAGCACCTAAAGGCAAGTCAAACAAACCAGGTTGCTGACCAGCATTTTTCATGTAGCTAAGTGCTAGTTGTGTCAAACAGCTTTTTATGATTGGGTAGTTAACCTCTTAAAGAGGTTCAAAGCAGTAAATAAAACTGGTTAGCTAATATCTTTTAAGAAATTTGTACATTACATATATGCTTTTGATGAGGTTTCAAGGGCCATTATTTCATAACTTGCTTGAACTTGACATATGTATCTTCAGTTTCATCTTTGTATATGAAAGTGATATTGTAGGTCTCTTTTCTGTTTTAAGAAAAAACAATACAGTCAGAAACTATAACCAGAAAACACATGTTGGCTCCCTTGATGTTCAGAGAATGGATATGTGCCCCTGCTCTTCGGAGGGGAGAATTGTTTGGACAAAGAGTGCTTTTATGATATTGATCCGGAGTTTTCATTCCATGGTGGCATGCTTAGTTACCATAACTTGTTTTGCTAATATATATTCCTTAGTTATTTCAAAACATCTAGAAATTATCTGCACATTCCTTTGTTATATATGTACATTTTTCAAATGTGCGTGTTTTCTGTGCATTTGGCTTGAGGCAACTATTTCTGTTCAGAAAAAAATACTGAAGGATGGGGATAGTGTGGAGAGGCCTGGGTATTAAAAGGAGCTGATGCTGTCATATTGAGTTATTATATAAGGACTTGAGAAGTGGTGATACCTTTCTTTTGTAGCGAGGAAAACATGCTGCAAAAGGGCAAGTTTGACATCGGACTAGTGAATGAGAGAGGTAGAATGTGATTAAACTCATAGGTGGTCTTAGTTTAGAAAGACTTACTTGGATCTTGTTGCACTTTTCTTTTAAAAGTAGCCGTAACCAATTGTTCTCTTTCTTTTTGATTTGAACTTATTTTCCTGAAGAATCTAGACAACAAACATTCAGAGTCCTTTTTACCGAGTGGAATTAATTTCTTTCTTATGTCAATCTGAGATTAGAATAACCGGTTTCTCCTGTAAAATAGGGACCCCTAATGGAAAAATTAGGAATATCACCCAAATGGTTTACCTTAATGCTCAGAGGCTGTTCATTGGAATCTAATTCTTGAGTGTTCTTAAACATGAAGGTAGGTCCCTGAAACAAGATGTGATGCTTGAATTGATCAGGATATTTGATAGCTGCATCTTTTCTAAATGTTGTGTCTTTAAGTTGTAGTTTTTAAGGTAAAGGAGCAATTCTAGATCTCTCTTTTACAGAGCAGTAGCAGAACCTTGAATATACATTGAATCACACAGCAGTATTAGTATACTTTCTCCTTCCTGCTACATCTCCTTAGATAATAGTACTCCATTAAGAACGAATAGACTGGAATGCTAGTGCTTTTCCTGTAGTTCGTAGGAAGCGTGAAGAAATTTGTCTGCATAGGGGTGTCGCAGCCTGTATGACTTTGTTCAGTCTGTACTTCAGACTTGCTTCAAAGTTACGTAGTTCAAATGATGTATTACAAGGAGTCTTACCAGGTGATGAACTGATGTCATTGAGAGTGGTTCTATTTGTGACCCTCTTTAGAGGTCTGATGTGTTAATTATTTTATAATTGTACATCAGTATTATTGTTGAGCTTCTGTATATAGGGTTATGGTCTGTTGTGAGAATATAAGCAT